TGACGCACCTGCTGCAGTGCCAGCGAGGGGGCTCGGCTAGATCTCCATTTCCGAATCCAACTCGTCGGCAGTGCCTGTCTCGAGCAAAAACCCCAATCACGACACCTGAACGTTTCACTCCGCAGCCCAATCGGCGCATCGGAAGACACTGCCGAAAGAAAAAGAACCGTGAGATGTCAGGCACCAACGGAAAATCCCGGTGCAACTGTCGGATGCGCCTGAACCAATGCGGCACACGGCAGCAGGGTACCCCTAGAGGCGAAGCCTACATCCTATGTTAGACCCCACATCGGTAAAACCCCATGGCATGCCGCCTTGAAGTCGCGGCTGTTCGACTAAATAAGCCTCCACATCAGTATAGACTCCATGGCACGCCGCCCTTGGAGCCGAGCCCTCAAGTATGGTAGAGACTCCGTGACAAGCCGCCCTTGAGGTCGAGCGCACAGCACCGCCCGGCCCCGTTGGACCCTTCTGCAGCTGGCGCGCTCTCTAGACCCTGGAGGTGCCGCGCCGGCGCTTCCCCAATCGTCCCAGCCTCGTGCTTGCAGCGCCTTGTTGGGGAAGCTAACGCTCGCGGCCACCTCCAATGCGTCGCGCAAGGTTTCCCCGCGGCGCCTGACTAGACATTACGCTACATTCAGCAGCTCTCAGTACCTCTGAAAAGACCTTGCCTATGGTGACGATGCCCCCCGCCCCCCCCCCCTGAGGCCCAACATGGCCGCGGGAATCTCATTCGGGAAACTCTGCTCGATCGGGTGATCCGCGCCCTGTTCGAGCGCTCCCAGAAGCTGCTTCTCGAGTGACTCGTCTCGAGTGACTCGTCTGCGGGTTGCAGCGCATGCCCTGCCAAGTGGTACGTGAGCCTATTTTTTCGCGTCCTTGCCAGGCTCGTCGCGCATCCGTGGGCACCGTAGTCCCAGTACCCAGTCCGCTGCGTCCTCTGGCGTGCCTTTTCTCTAGCATGATGCGCGGCCTCTCGAGCGCCCGCGAGCGCCGCTGCCGTCGCTCCGACATGTCCGCGAAGGACCAATTCTCTACGACGCGCAGAATCGCGTAAAAGCCGTGGAAGCTCGGCGCCCCCATGTTCTCCTCTGGTTTCTCCTTCCGCCCCTTGGTGAAGTCTTGATATGCGGTGATCGCCGCCTTCACGATTGGGCTGCTGCGCTGGGCCACTGCCGCGCTGAGCGCCCGATGCTCCAGGGCTCGCGCTCTCGCCTCGAACTGCGCAAGTAAAGACTCCACGTCCGCCCCGACGCCGTTATTGTCCTCCTCGTCTGCCTCCTCCATATTTGCATCCTCTACTGCTCGTGGCCCTCCGATTCGCCGCGCTTTCTTGCGCTGCCCGCGTGCCGCTGCGGAGCTGGCCCCCCTGGGTCGCACGAGCCGCTCCTTCTTGCCGCCTCCTGTTCCCGCCGACAACGCCGCTGCCATCTGGTAGCGCCGATCTGCAGGAAGACAGTCGCACTCTGGAGTCTGCTGCCTGAGTACCCGCCGCAGCGGGATTGTTCGGAGCAGGCCCAATATGTAAAGTGTCCGGAAGCAATTCATGGAAGTGATGGTGGAATGCTCGAGCGAATCGCTCGCGGCGTCGGCTTCGGAATCACCTGCGGGGCATGACTACGACGACGGCGCACTGGGCACTGACTCGAATCTGATCCTACCCAGCGGGCAGAATCCTCGCTCGAGACCGGCCACGACTTGTACGTTTACAGATTTGGCCCCCCTCGTAACTGCACGGCATGACGGCCACGCGATAGCCATGGTAAGTTTTGGCCCAAAATGTACTCTACCAAGCGTGCCCCCTTCTGTTGCGCACGCGCGCGACATGACAGGCTGTTTCGCACCCCACAGGGCCCCGCGACCTTTTCCTTCTGCCGTGAGAGCTGCACGTCAATATCCTTTTCCACCGGCATTATGGCGCTGAGCCAGATCGGTCGGTGGCGCAGTAAGATGCACTGCCCGGAACTCATCGAAGTCGAGCTGTTGCAAACCTTCTGGCCCCTCGAACAGCACATTGAATATGTCGCGGACATGACCAGTGAGAAGTGCGATCCTCGCATCGGTCGCGAAGAGAAAATCAACGTCAGCTCGAAACAGTCAAGCTCGCGGGCGCGCCGCAGGAAAGCCCCTCCCCCCGCGCACACCACCGCGTGTTAGAGGGGCCCCCATCTCCTGCCATTGCATCGAAACATAACGCCCATTACGGCGCGCTCTCATCCCTTACTGAAGCCATTCTGCGGAGCCACTTCAATCTCCGAACGCGCAGCTCCGAGAAAAGTGGGCCCATCATAAACTTACGCAGCACCTTGCCCTGAAGGGCCTGCACTACATGTCTTCCTCGGGGGACACAATTGCCGCGCCGCCGAGCATCGCCCTGCACTTCTCAGCGATGAACCTCCGCATGGCTTGAAGATCCCCTCGCACGGGCGGCCCGCGAGGTCAGCCCAGCACTTCAGCTCCGCTGAGCGCGGCATTCACTAGCAGCTCGGCTAGCAGCTCGCTGAGCTCGGGCCCCGACGTGGAGGTTGCAGCCTGGACGCCTCCGAGGCACCTGACGCAGCGTTTGTTGGGCCCTTGAATTTCGACTTCTTCGTCGTGTACCAACCGGGGTACCTCGTGGGATCCAGTACCTCTTCAGTAACATGCGTTTCTTGTTTGTCCGTGCTCTGGGGCGCTCCAATGTCCGGCATTCCTTTAATAACTGCCTCATCGAGTGCTTCCGCGCCCCCCCCCCCCCCCCCCCCCTCAGCCGCCCAATCGCGCCCCCCCCCCCCCCCCATCCAGCTCCAGGACCTTGGGCGAGGCGTCATCCACAAGCCCTGCGGTGCATCACTGCCCTGTGCCCCCCTCACCCCAAGGCGCGGATATTCCTGCTGATATGCACCGGCCACCAACCACTGCCTGATTGCGCATCTCCTTCAACGGCGGCTCACTCAACACGCGTTCAAACAGTCGGGTAGCTCCTCTGCCCCCTGGACACAAATCTCCTCCCAGACGCATCCAAAACTGTACATATCACAAACAACCCGCGAGTGATGCGGTCGACGTAAAACTCCTGGTCGACCTGGCCATCATAAACCTTGCAAGCTACCTGCAGCACGCTCTGGCGCCCTAGCGAGAAGAAGGCGTTGACGGCGTCGCGGCAGCGAAGCAGGTGGCTGATGCCTGCATGACGCAGCCTCCAAGACGAAATTAGCTAGACCCCATCGCATTCCCCCTCGCCCTCCCCCGCAACCCTCCACACATCCAATCCGGCGACCTCCACTTACGAGATTCGCGCCGCATGGCGGCCCCATTTACTGCCCCCCCCCCCCCCCCCCCCTCACCCCCAGGCGCCACGTGACCATTCTGACCCCCCCCCCCCCGACCACAATCCAACGCGCGATTCCCCCTGGAAAGCCCCGCGGCCCGCGCCGCGCGCCACTGCGCAAGCGTTCGCCTCCGAGACGCCTGCGCTCGACCAACGGCCTTCCTAGAAGAACCAGTGCCTCACTTGGCTCAACAAACTCTCGCGCGAAGCCTACGCCAGCAGCTAGTCAATTTCCCCATTCATTGATACGCTTTGGAGAAGGGAAAAAAAACGCAAACCTTCCAGCGGCGCACTCCGCGACGGCCACGCGCGCCAAAACTTGAACCTCCATGGCGCGGCCTGCATGTTGCCCACAACCCTCTGCCGCCATGTAGGTCGCCCCCGTTCTCTCGCGCCGTGGCCGCTGCTCCGCTTGAACCTCTGCCTGGACCCCTTCCAACGTGAATGGTATCGCTGAGCGCCCTCCGCGCGTTGCCTGCAGCTGCGTGCGCAACGCCCAGTGCGCCGCAGTCGTCGATGGCCCTGGCACCGCAGCACGTCGCCCTTGCCTGGGGCCGCGCCTTTTTCCAGCGATAAGACGTGCCAAGCTGTGAACCTGGCACCCATCCCGCGCGGAAGGCGCATCCTTCAGCTAGGGTAATTTCCTGTCGTTCGACCCCTTCCAATATCCCACGGCGTGCCTGCTTCAATCTCTGCCCAAGAAACTGTATCCTGCTTGCAGATATCGCCGAACGCGTGCGCATCCAAATATTCTCGCCCCTGCTGCCGTATCTGACGCCGTTCAAATAACAGCTTCCTAAGTTTAGCCGCGTCCGCTGTCCGTTCTGACGTTTCTAATGGGCTGCTGGGAAAACCCAGAAAGCTCTCATCCACAATTCTGATGATTAGTCTGCTCAGCCCATCGATGTCCTCATTTGCTATAACTCTCAACCTCGACGTCGGTCGCATGCGCATGTTTTACCCGCGTATAAAAAAAAACCCTGCCGCCTGAAGCCTTCCTGCACACAGCGACACATGGATTCTCTGTTGGGGCGTACAGATTGTAAAACATATTGCTTGGGCGGTGTATTATTGGACGATGCTATCGGGCCGACACCATGTTGTGTAGCTGTAACCTGCGACCTCGTCCCACAAGCACATGGCAACGTTCCACTGCTCCCATCGCCATTCTACGTATCAAAATGTGGCACATAAGTCACTCACCGCGCAGCCCAACATATGCGCCAGGATTGGTGAAGTGCGGGTTGGCGCTGGACATATTCCATCACGCAGAGGAGACAAAAAAAAGGCCCCAGAGTTACTGTTGATGCGGTAGGTGTTCCTCTCGACGGTGGCCCCCCAGCGTAATAGTTTCCAGTGTGCGGGAGCCCTCCGCCCATGCCTGCACATATGATAGGTGTGGCACTGCGAGACGAAGATATTTGCAGCGTGCTACCTATCCACCCGCCGATGGCCTTCAGCGTCTTGCCGTATGCTGCTCTACCCTCCTCACCGTTCTGCCAGGAGGCACGTACGCAACAAGCAACAAGAACTGCTGCTGCGTTGCCCCAAAGCTGCGGAGGGACAGGTACGATCCTCCGAAGCTGACTCTTCTTGAACCTGCTGCTGCGAAACATGAAGCCCGCCCCACAATTTGCATTGGTAAGCCCTCCCTTCCCATATCCATGCTCCAGACACCAATATGCTTCAACATGCTTGCTCTCCTCCCGCCGCTGGTCCGTGCGACGCTTATATGCACCTACGAATGCGAAAACATCACGAATGTGTAATTCATGTATTGTACCAACCATTCTTGATATCGATTTTCACGCGCACGGGCTGTAGCATACCACGCGTAGTAATCTCACCCCCAACGAGCCATCTCCGGGACGAACGCGATGTCGCCTCTGCCCAAGAGAACCTTGTATCTCCATCGCGGGCCCGCGCGCGCTTGGTGTGGCGGAGTACGCTCGGTTGGCATGACCTATGCCAATGCGCTCTTTGAGCAGCCAGCTCCTCCTCCTCCGCCCTCTTCCTCCTCCTCCTCCTCCTCCTCTTCTCCCTCCTCCTCCTCCCCCTCCGCCTCCTCCTCTCCTCCTCCTCTTCCTCCGCTCCGCATCCTCATCCGATCCCCCTCCTCCTCCTCATCTCCTCTCCTGCTCCTCCTCCGCACCTCCTCCTCCTACTCCTCCTCCTCTTCCTCCTCCTCCTCTCCTCCTCCTCGGCCCCCCTCATCCTCCCTCTTCCTCACGCCTCCTATTCCTCCTCCTGATTTCCTATCCTCCTCATCATCATCCTCTTCCTCCTCCTCCTCGTCATCCTCCTCCTCCTCCTCCTCCTCCTCCTCTGCTTTCTCCTCACTATCCTCCTCCAGTTCCTTCTACTCCTCCTTTTCATCCTCCTCCGCCACCTCATCCTCTTTACCTGTTTCTTATTCTGGTTAATAATATCATTTGTATTCGCATTCTCGTGATTCTCCTTATTGAAAGTCCTCCTCCTCCTCATCCTGGCCATCAAATCTTTTTCCTTCTGAATAAGTTCTCCCTGTCGCACCCCGAGGCAACGTTTGAGGGCGGGCCAGGCGTTTCTCCTGGGACTTCCTCACCATCTATGACTCTGAAGCTTGAAAAGTGGCAACAGCGCCACGGATTGAGGGCGGGTGGCTTTCAAAATGTGGATCTCGCCTTAGCGCTGCGCACATCCGTTTTGACAAACTGCAAGAGCTTCACTGATTGAGGGCGGGTCGTTTTCAAAATGTGGCTCTCGCCTTAGCCCCGCCCACATTCGTTCTGAACAGTTGTAAGAGCGTCACGGATTGAAGGCGGGTGGTGTTCAAGATGTGGTTCTCGCCTTAGCGCCGCGCACATCAGTTGTGAAACTTTGCAAGAGTTTCACGGATTGAGGGCGGGTGGCTTTCAAGATGTGGCTCTCGCCTTAGCGCCGCGCACATCAGTTTTGAAACCCTGCAAGGGCTTCACGGATTGAGGGCGGGTGGCTCTCAAGACGTGGTTCTCGCCTCAGCGCCGCGCACATTCGTTTTGAATGGTATCAAGGGCCTTTCGGATTGAGGACGGGTCGTGTTCAAAATGTGTCTCCCGACTTGGCCCCGCGCAGTGCGGGGCCAAGTCGGGAGAGTCTCAACAGTGTCACGGCCTGCGGGCGGCGCGGTCTCAAAAGGTGGATTTCGCCTCAGCGCCGCGCGCAGTCGTTTCAAAGATTCAGAAGGGTTTTTTTCGCGGGTGCACATGGTCAACGCACCAACAACGGCGCCCTGGAAGGATTCAGGATTATCCGGGTGCAACAATTATGCTGAGTCGCGGTGTTGAAGTCCCCCAAAAAAGCGTTCTGGCACGCTCCTGGAGGAACGGGTCAGGGTTAAGTTAACATCGTTGATGACTCTTGCGGTTACACTGGTCCTCCTCCTCCCCCTCCTCCTCCTACTCTTCCTCCTCCTCCTCCATCTCCTCCTCCTCCTCCTCCTCCTCCTCCTCAACCTCCTCCTCCTACAGTCCTCCTCCTCCTCCCTCATCATACCTCCTCAATCCTACTCCTCCTCCTCCTCTCATCTCCGCCATTCCTCCTACTCCTCCTCCTCCTCCTCCTCCGTCACTCTCATCCTCCTGCCTTCTCCTCCTCTCTCCTCCTTCCTCTCCTCCCCTCCTAACTCCTCCTCTCCGCCGCTGCCTCCTCATCCTCTCTCCTCCTCCTCCTCCTCCTCCCCCTCCTCCTCCTCCGATCGTCATCACACTCGCCCTCCGCCGTCTCCTCGTTCTCCTGCGCCTCGCGCTCCTCATCGTGCGCCCCCTCCTGCTTCTCAAGCTCTTTCCCGTCGCAACATTGATGTCACAGGGCTCGAGCTAAAAGTGTTGGTCGTGTTCGTATTGTTTTCGCTGTCCTTCGCTATGTTTTCGTTCTGCCTGTACTGCAAAACGAAACATATCGCATCTGCTCCCCCGACCCTCCTCATGCTCCTGCGCTGACAGCCACACCGTCTCGACCACGGCAGTCTCTTGATTTCCACGACTGCGCCCACAAAGAGGAACTACCATGAAAGCACTGAGGAGCTTGCAGAAGGTCTGCGCCAATCCAAAGCACTACGCAATTATCCCAGATGCCTCGCCAAGGATCCACGTGTGTGTTCGGATTCTTTGCAGGCGTCGCTCTCCCCAGTGCCTCAGTCCTTTTGCGCCAGATCGAGAAAACCCAGCATTTCCGAGGTCCTGAAGGCAGGGTCGAAACGTATGCAAAACATCGGCTGTCGCCACTACTGGATACATCCACGCGGCGCCGAGATCCCTATACGACAGGGGCGGCAAGAACAGAGTGGAGCCTGACGAGAAGGAGAATGAGTCCAATGAGGGATCGGACCGCTCTCTAGCCACCCAGAGCCGCACCCGCCCGCCTCTCTCGCCGCCATGGCCGCCGCCTTCTGCTCCACCTTCCTCACCCCCAACAGCTCCGCGTTGGCATCGGCGTACTCCTCCCAGGATGCAGGGTCAACTTCCTACCAACTCGTTCTCCTCGGCTGCTTCTCCCGCGCGCATTCTCAAGATTCACCTAGCAGCGGTTGCGCTTACGGGCTCCTACCTCTGGGATAAGGAATCGGGCTGGTGTGCCGCTCTGGCAGCTACGTAGTCGCCGCCGCCACCCAATAGCCGCCTCGTCGCCGCCCGTCGTCTGGGCCGGTGTGCCGCTCCGGCGGGTGGGTAGTCGCCGTCGCTCGCCGGCCCGTGGCCGCCTGGTCGCCGCCCGTCGTGCGGGCCGGTGTGCCGCTCTGGCGGCTGTGCAGTCGCTGTCGACGCCCCGTGGCCACATCGCCACCGTCCGTCGCCTGTGCCAGTATGCCGCTCTGGCATCCATGTCGTCGCCGTCGCCGCCCCGTGGCAGCCTCGTCATGATGTGTGAGATGCATGTCTTGACATTGCTATGCATTGCTGTGTCTTGGATTGGTTTGTCTTGTATCGTACAGATTGTACAAAATAGGCTGCAGAACGTAGATTGTGCTGCGTAGATTGTACAACATGTATTGCACCACATATATTGCACAATGTATATCTCACTACATAGACTCCACACCAGATGTTGCTCAACACGTATTGCACAACCTTGATTGCTTCGCATCGGCTGCACCACATAGATCGCACTATACATATTGCACAACATTCATTGCACAAAATGTTGCACCACGTATACTGCACAATACAATTTGCAGAACATGGGTTCCCCATGATAGGCTGTACACCATCTGTTGTTCCTCGCGTTTCGCACCACATATTTTGCACAGTCTAGATTGCACAATATCGATTGCACAACAACTATTGCACAACCTGGACCGTTCCACATACGTCGGCCCAGATGGAAGGCTCCTTGCATGTGATGATGGCGCTCGCCGCGCGGAAGACGGCAGAAGTATTGCGAGGGCGGCGGAAGCCGGTGGCAGCAACAGTGCGCCTTCCGAACCCCTTGCCCGTGTGGAAGCCTAGCAAGGTAGTCTTCTTTCCTGGGTCCGGCGGGATCCCGCCGAGCTTGGCTCCTCTTAATATTCTGAGTTTGATTCAGCCAGGTCACATTCCCACCCATTGGAAGATAGGGTAAACCAAAATTCGGGTCCCTTGAGGGATCACACT